AGGCTGATTTCGGATCATTCAGTCTTTAAATGGAATCCAACATCCAACTCCAAGGATTTATTTGTCGAAGATGGTGTGGTGGTGTGTGTAATAGGCTTGCCATTTCATTTGTGGAAACAAGAAGTAGCAGAGTCTATAGCAGTGTTGTGTGGAGGAACCTTGAAAGGAGTTTTCTGGGGTGATCTTTATTCAGTAGCAATCTTGCTAAGTGGTGTGAAGCCAGAAGATATTCCACGAAAGGTAGAGGTACGAACAGAGGGGAGTTTTGTCTCTGTGTGGCCAGCATCCTCCATTGAAGCAGGGCTGTGGAAGGAGGCTCGTTTGGTAGGAGGGGAGGAGGAAGAAGAAGAAGCATTATGTGGACTTGTGAGATTGGTTAATTCAAATGGGAAGGAATGTTTCACTAAAAAGGGCCAACAAATTCTAGGAAGCCAAAAAGCTTTGGGGTAGATGGAAGGTCAAACTTGTAGAAAGCAAGAAAAGGCTATGACAAATGGTAGATCTTTTGTGCAGGTGGTGTAAGGGGAAATAGACAAAAATATACCAATGTTTAAAGGGAGAGGGCTGAACCAACAACCTTAGACAGGGAGGGTTGCTGGTTCGACCATTAAAACAGGGGGGATGACTTGTTAAGAGGTCACGTGGGAGGAAAAGACTCAGAAAATGGGCCCAGTCGAGTGGATCCCTTTTCTGGTGGGCCGGAGAAGGCAACTCAAGTAAAGGTTTTAAAGCTGGGTTCTTATATTACAAGTTTTGAGCCCAAGGCCCATTACAAGACAGATGGGCCAAGGGACCCTTTAAGTAAGCACGTGACTGGGAGGAGGGATGAGTTGATAGATGAGATTAAGCGTCTATCTTCTTCTACCCCGAATCCCTCCTTTCAATCGAACAGTTTAGGCGCAAAATCTCAAGACTCTCAGTCTCGAGGCTCTCTACAGTGGGTCCCATCCAACCTGGTGAATCGTCTCTCACCGGATAGGCGCAACCCGAGATACCTGAAGCCTAGTGATTTGAACAGAACAGGGTTTGAAGATTGGTTGAGTGAACAAAACAGTAGTGACGATTCTGATAGAGACGAAACTTTTAAGTTTGGGAAGTCTGTCTCCGAAAAGCAACAATGATTTACTTGAAATAGAAAGTTTGCATACAGAGCTGTTGTTTTTAGTGGAAGAGATTGAAGAGGCAGGTGTCAGGAAGACTAGAAATGGTGAAGAAAATGGTCCTAAAGTTGTGAGAACTCCTCTTCCCTTCGTTGAGGGAGCTGACCCTGAGTCTAATGAATTACAGGTAGACCTGTTCATGGGCCGGGCCGGGTCAGGCTCAGGCCGGGCTTTTAGTCCCCATTAATGAAAATATGCTAGGCCCGAGCCCGGCCTGACCTACGGGCCTATAACTTGGGCCCTATCCCGGGCCTGATAAAAAGCCCGAAGCCCGACCTAATAAATTTTGTCCGGAGTTATTGCGTCGGTGAACGTTCACCGCCTCATTGTGGAGTGTGGAGGATGTGGAGGTTGGAGAAGAAGGGTTCGGCTGGAAAAAAGAAGAGGGAAAGAGGCAAAGAGATAATAAAAAGATGGGGCTATTCGATTAGGGTTTTTTAGGTCTAGGTTTAGGTCGGGCCGGGCCGGGC